TCACTGTTATTAAATGTATTGCAGAAAAATTAGACATACTATTGATTCCCACATCTAAATTTAAGTTTAAATTGATTAAAATATTGTTAAATTAACTATGTTATAGAACTTGATTTCTTATTTTAATAAAACATGTTAATATTTTTATAATCATTTAAATGATATTAATACAAGTATCATTTCAACGTGGAGTTAAACATATAACAGAATTTCTAACAAAAATCATTTATTTTGCAAGTAAAAAAACCATAATTTTCCATTAATCTAAATTTTAGTGTTTATTATTTGAACATTTTTCAGGTATTTTAAGATAATAGAAAACAGTTTCCTGGATTTACTAAGCATACTCTCAAAAAAATTATATACTTAAACAGTTAATTTAAAGTCGTTAACAAATAATTTCTTTTGATTAGCTTAAATTTCCTTTTTTAGCTTCAATGCGGGCCTAAATAAATATTTATTTATGATGATTTGCGTTTTATTTATGTCTGTCATAAAAATTCTGAGCTCTCACTAGAGTGATTTTGTTGGTCTATGTGTCAAAAGAACCTAATTTTTATCTAGTTGAATCATCGTTGCCAAAAATTGGAAAACCATTGGATTTTAGAAATTTTAATAAAAGAAATATATTTCTATATATAAGGACTATAATAATATATATTGTACATCATTAAATCCATTGAAGTAGAAAATAATTCCTGAAAAATAAAACTCAAGCTAGTAAATAGTTAAGTTGAACGTAAAGGTAAAAAATGAATAAAAACAAATGTTATAACTCTTTTTTATGAGATTTTATGTGAAATTGTTAAAATTGTGACATTTGTTAAAAAGATAATAGAATGATTCCCTAAAATACTGATGTTATAATAATCGATTTCTTTCGTAAAATTAACCAATGAAGAATTCTATATAAATTAAAAAATTTTAATTTCAATTTTATTCCTAATGTTTTATGTTTTTTCACGCGTGCCTTACTCTTTGACAAAATTTTAAGCATATTACATTGCTCATGAAAATCTCGTTTGAAATTCGTGAAAGGATGTAAGCTTAGTTAACTCAGTCACTTTAAATACTTGTTGAGGTTGATTTTAACAGAACCAATATTTTAACAATATGATAACAAAGTCATACTGTGAAAAAATGTATTTATTTATAAAAGTATATAAACATCTTATAAATAACGGTCTTGTCTGTAAACTATAAATATACATATATTTATGGATATACATTTAAAAACCCGTACAAGACGAAATAATATGAAATATTATCAATTAATATGAAAATAACAATTCTTCATTCGTTTTTTACTTATATACTTATATTACGTTTTATTTCTCATTTAAGATGAATGTTCTATTTTTTTTTTAAATGAGTGATGAATGAGCGTAGATTATATGATTATTGGAATTAAGCAATTCAAAGGTTACTGGAGTAAATAACTTAAGTACTATATGGCTAATAAAAAGCTGGGGTTAATCTGTTTTAATGTGCTTCATTGAATGAAAACTTCTTCAAATCCATATTTCCACCTTGAAATGTACTTAGGATATTTGTTATCAAGTTTAGTTTCTTTTGTCACCTGATTTACTCTCGTTCTATCATTGTCTAACTTGCTCGCTTCGTTCACATTATAGTTTTCATTGCTCAATATATTCGTCATTGTTACATAAAATATGTATTGTGTTGTAAAACCAGTAATATCATGGGGCGTTCTATTATATTCATCGATAACTTCTGGTAAAAGTGTACTCTAGTTTTTGTTTTTATTTTCTAGTTATTTGATTTTTAGTCTTTGAATTATTGTATGTTTGAAATTTTCTACTATATTATTTGCTTCTGAATGAAATAAACAGTGTTCAAATGTGTGCTTTACATTATGCTTTTTGATATAGGTCTTCAAGGTTTGCCAATATAATGTCTATCATTATCTATTATTAAGAGTTAAGGTACAATTTTTGAAGAAATTAATTTTTTCATTGTATAGGAAAGATGATAATACTTAGATGGATGAGTAGAGTAACGAGAGAGAGTAGGATATGGAATTAATATCTGAGAAGAATCATAGGAATAATGTCGATCGNAATGTCTATCATTATCTATTATTAAGAGTTAAGGTACAATTTTTGAAGAAATTAATTTTTTCATTGTATAGGAAAGATGATAATACTTAGATGGATGAGTAGAGTAACGAGAGAGAGTAGGATATGGAATTAATATCTGAGAAGAATCATAGGAATAATGTCGATCGTGGAAAATATGTTCAAATATATTGTTGATTGTAGACCAATGACCTTATTAATAAAAACCTTATCATCTAAAAACNGATTGTAGACCAATGACCTTATTAATAAAAACCTTATCATCTAAAAACAAACAAAAAAATAAATATGAAAATAACGATTCCACCTAATCTTTTTACTTATAAATTACGTTCTTATCTTTCTGTAATTATTACTGCGTGACTCATCTACTCAGACGATAACTCGAATTTGCTAGTTCTTTTTTGCAATAGCTAAAATTAAAGATAAATAATACCTTTTCAGCTTCGCATCGAAGCTAAAATAATGAAATTCAAACATTTATGGACTGTATGTCTCTGGGGTATATTTTTTCAGATCTTAATCTCATAGAAATCAATTAATTACTTACTTTCTATTAGTTTTTACATATTTTGTATATTTTGTTACAATTTTGTAACAACATTTAAAAATAATATCAACTATACAAATAATACGGGCAATACATTTATAAATTTGTACAATTTTCCATTTTACCTGGCCCCTTCTACTTTAAATTATGAATCGGCGGGTACTCCGTTAATCACTAAAAGATTAATTTTCGTAATATTCATGGCTTTATGTGAACTCTCTAGTATAGATGAAATATTCGAACCTGACGCTCTCGAAAGTTACCTTATCCAAACCACAGACAAATTAATGACTAACGTTTTACGTACAAAACTACAAATAACTTTGTACGAGCTCTGTAAAAACAAAATTGATAATTGACAGTGACATACAATTGTGGTACGACGTCAATTATGAAGGCAATCCTCAGGTGACTAAATGACAAAAGTAATTATGTAGGCTATTGCGTACTATCCATAAGATAAACGTTTTTTGGCAGGTTACATTCGTAGCGCCAACCAAAAAATAAAAAAAAAAATAAGTTTTCAATAAAACAACTCATTTGGCCATTGATAATATTGATTTATTTCTTTTTGTATTATAAAAATTAAAAATAATAAGTTTTCAATGTAATTCAAAAAGTAACAATTTGTTTTTGGAAGTATAAAATATTGATTGTATCAAATTGAGTAGTCAACTAGATTTTTCTGTAATACGATATTTTTTAAAGGACATAAGATTGACACAAATTATTTTCATTTTATATAACTGATACAGAACTGTAAATATTTATTTACTTTATTTACAATAACAGCGTAAGAAAAAAATTATAATTTATCTTAAAAAAGAGGATAATTAAAAAATTAATATAGCATACTTTTAAGCGTACACACAAAATCATTGATTAATGAATATTAAAATGAAATTTAAATAATTTTGATAACTTAGTCAACAATTTTTCTTATTTAAATTATTTATTATTATCAGCAATAAAGGGTCGGTCTGGCCTAGTGGGTAGAAATGTATGTTTCAGCGCATGGGGTTCGGGTTCGATCCTCAGGGTGTCAACGAGATTTTTCTTGTGATTTTCTAATTGTTAGTATCTGGTCTTTGATGGAAGCCGGCCATCATTGGCCAGCCAGGAATGACTTTCAGTCCCTAATATATGAAAGTGGGCCACCACCATCTGTAGCATGTCAAGTTCAGGAAATAGAACGATGATAACTGATCATTATTATTTTATTGCTGTCTGCGATGTTATGATAAATCTAATGAATCTAACTTGTGATGTACTAAATATTTTGCATTACTCTTTTTAAAGCATTATTAAATTTCTATACTATACGAATATTATCAGTTATAATTTTTTTTTTTTAATTAATTGAAAAAAATTTACTATTTATTTAATTTGTGAAAAATGTAAAAAAATATCAAGATAGCTATTTTTTAAAATAGATTCTAAGAAAAAAATTCTACAATATTTTAAATTTTGAAAAAAAATTAATTATTATCTTGTTTATTTTGCAGTATCAAAAGATAGTCTGTATAAGTAAGAAATAGATAGAAACAAAGCATATTTCTACATAAAGTACAGGTTATAATTATTGAATTTATTCCATGAGAATTATTAACATTTGAATGAGTATAAATAATGGAAATGATAAAAATTTTTATGGAAATAGTTACATACCTATAAATACAATGATTAGACAGAAAATAATATGTTTTCTTCTACTTTTTTTCTCAAAACATGTTACAATATTTGATATCGTAAAATAAATACATGAAAGTTTTAACACTCTCATAGTTAAAAATTCTATAGAAAATGTACTATTATTAATGATTAATAAGATATATTTTATTAAATATTTGCTTAAAATATATTCTAAAAATGGTAATCTTGATTTTTTGTTTACATTTTTCGCAAATTTAAAAAAAAGTATTATTTCTTATGATATTTTTGTAGCCTTGAAAGTATAATATTAATTTAAAAATTGAGTAAAAACTAGTATTTTAATATAATGGCTTTCTATTAGTACTATTACACAGAAATAATTTTTCTCGTATAATGGACACTTGTAAACAAACACAGTTTTTTCCATAACACATTGCAACACTAATATAACACTTTATTTAAGTGTTCAAACTTGTTCGTTACTTAGTGGCGAACTAGATTACTTTTCTATTAAAGGAATTCGCTTGTTGTAAACAAAGCAACTATAAAAAGGTTTTGTACTATTATTTTAAGAATGGCATGTTATAAATAAAAACCCTGCAGCGATAAACATATGCGCACCGGCTCTTTTCTGTGTGGAAAAACAACAGAAATCATCTGAGAGACAGCCGCAGCATGGCAGTAGTAGCGCTTCGGATTTTACGTGTAAAAGTCAGTCGGTGCGCCAACTTTTAGTCAGACGGTCGCGAAAGATAATTTGTTTTTCGGTGGTCGGTGCGTAGACCGAGATGACTTCTTTTTTTACCATGACCGCTACTACTATCGCTTTTCTCCTTGTGGGCACGAGTTTCTCGTAAGTTTAGTTTAAATCTAAAAAATGAACTCTCCTAATCATATGAATCTTAAAAAAATTACTCGTATAAATAAGTGAGGTATTTTTTTGACTACCCGAAAAGGAAATATTTTTTTATGAAAATATTGAAAAAAACTCTAGGAAATATTTATAATAGTACGATACCATTTAATAAAATAATTTTTTTTTATTTGTTACTATCAAAACACAAATTATTACACTGATAAATCTTTGTTTTAGCAACTACATTACACGAATGAATAAACAAATATAATAATAAGTATTAATAATTGTTATTATTTTTCTTTAAATAAAATTTATTTTCGAATAAATCATACTGAGGCAAACAATGAAAACTTCCATGAAAGACAACTATGTAGCTATTATAATATTTCAACTAAAACTAAACGCTCAAATATAATAAACAAGTGACACTGAGGCAATATTTAAACAAATTGTTCTGTTATGACATATATTGTTCAATATTTTATTAAACAAAAAATATGAGTTACAAGTGATCCTATAAGTCAAATTTATGCGCTCGGAACAAATGCTTTAAATTTTTTGAATAATAATACAGCTCATTTTATTACAGTCAAATAAAATTTCTTTAACACATGAATTTTTAATATAATAATAAAAAATTGTTATTGCGGTATTGTTTATTACATCAAACCTATTTTATAACAAATTAAATAAATAAAGTTTTATTTACTATGTCATTTTAATTCTTTACAAAGTTTTGGTCGTCTACCGATTTATTTTATTAATATTCAGTCACAATCCGTAGTGTAAATTACATAAAGACAAATTGCTCACCTTGTCTATACTTAAAAATATACTATATACAATTTTAACACTTTTTGAATGACTTAATATCAAAGTCTAAACTTTAAAAAATATAAACATACCAAATTAATTAAAAAATTTGAGAAATTCAGTATTTTTATTTTATTCATATAACCAAGTTTATTTTGCTGAGTAATTTGATTGGGTATGCTCTACAAGTAGTATTTTTATGGTTGATTTCTCAATTCACCATCAATATAATATACAATCAGAAAATAAATCTCTGGAGATTACAAAACTATGACTATGATGCCTTGTTTTCATTGATCTAGCAAAATAAAAACATTTCGTTATGTCACACCACCTTAAACTTGGTTAAGTACAAATAAAACAAATTATCTATATAAAAAAAACTTTGTTTGTGATATTAATCATCAAAAATAATAAATACAAAATTGATTTAAACTAGAATAAAACTTTAAAAATAATGTATACATTGAAAAAATCCTTAGTAAAATCAACAAAAAGTATTGTTAATATACAGTCGATAATTTTTTTATTGTGTAAACAAAAATATATTTAAATAATAAATAATTTGCCAAGTAAACAAATATGTTGTTTGTGTAGAAAAATTGATTGATTAAAAAAAAATTGCCAGTTTTATTTTTTTCTCACTTCGATGTTGTTATTACTAAATATTTTGTAAAAATTTATATGTCAAAAACTTCTTACCTTTGTATTAAAGTTAAATAATGTAAATATTTCCAAAATAACTTAATTAGAGAATTAGATGTTTTAATATGAATTATTTACTAAATTGATGACAAAGTAAATTATTTTGATTTCTTAAATATTTCATTTATATATTTTTATCTGCAATATTGTTATTTATGTTATTTAATAGTTTATCTTACGTATTTTTCAAAAATATTTAGCGCAAGATTTTCCGTTGCTTACTAAGGATCATAATGATTACGTTATAAATACATTCAAGTAGTACCCATCAGATTTCAAATAATTATTATATTTTCAAAGTTTTACTACGCCATAATATATAGTATCTATAAACTTATAGGTACTTGAGGGCTTGCGAAATAAAATACTCAAATACTTTTTTTTTCGTGTGTAGTAATGAAAGTGTTTTTAAAATATTGAATCAAATCACTTAATACTACATTTTTTTATACTAATGTTGCTATCCTTTTTTTAATTAAAAAGAAATCATAATTCCATAGCTTTTGATTTTTTCGCAGCTTTTTGGTATTTATGGGAATTCTTTCCAGGTTTATTAACAATAGCAAACTTCCATTTATATTAGCACAAAAACCTATAAAATTCATTGAAGTGAAACTGTAGTATCCCACGTCAAAAATTATCACTGCCTTATTAAGGTCAAATTTGATGTTCAATAGGATATGTTACAGAATAAAAATTACAAAGCATTTTATACAAATACATGCAATTCTAGAAATATAAAAATTTTTTTTTTTTGATAAAATAATAGATCAAATAATTATACTATTGAAAAAGAATAATATAAGAAATGAAATTTTATACATATATCAATAAAAAGAAAAAATTTATTTTGTAGTTTTTTGTAATTTATATTTTATAAAAACTTAAACTTTTGGAACGTTTTTATCCCGAGATATGATATTAGTTGTTTCTTGTTAGCTCACCGACAAAGCCTTAAGCTAGTCAACTTATAAATTGAGTGCATATTTGTAACCACGTTGTTCACTACAACGTCAATGTCATTTTTATTTTATTTCAATATAACCTTTTCAAAAGTATCAAATTTCTTATATTTTAGCAAACTTCTAAGTTAAAACGTTCTAAACCTGCTTTGTTTGTAGAAAAAATAATTTCAATTTACATAAATATATGCTTAAAAGTCATATTTGTTTTATTACTTTTTCAATAATTAGATTTTTTAAAAATAAAATTATAATCTGTTAAACTGTTTTACAAGAATGTATATGTTATAATAAAAAAATTAACATAGGAAATATTTAATTTAACATATTTGTAAAGTTGTGAAAGTAAATGGATATTAATTAATATTATTTGATTTCTGTATTGGAATTTGTGATTTTAATTAATATTGTTTTAAAGAAGTCACACCAAATAATTTCTAGGTAATGTCATTTTTTTAATTTAACAGTAGTTAAATCACGTAATCGTATAATTAATTTATGAGATAAATTACCCTAAATTATTTTTATTGCTTGGCAAACTGAACTTAAAAAGTATTAATGAAAACGTGGATACATTTCTTAAATATTTCAAGCAATACAACAATCCATGAAAGCTTCAATGCATTTTTAAACAGAACTTATAATTTCTTTTTAAATGAATGTTAGACTTTCTTAAATTGACTTTTTATATACTTTATAATATGATTATTTTTTTTTTTAAATAAAAAAAGATTGATTGTAATCTATCCAAAAACTAATTTTTATATTGAATATATTTAATGTAAAATCAATAATAGGATGGGTAGGATAATTTAACATCCTTAAGCTTTAAATAAATCTCTAATAGAAAATATTCATACAAATTTGAAATTTGGTACATAGAGAATTAGATATATATTAAAATAATTTAAGTGATGCTTAAAAAAATGTATTATAATGGTATTCGACAATTAAAAGGATTTACTTAAGAAATCTTAGATGAAGTATAAACTTTTTAATTGGACCACCCTGTAATTCGAAAAAAATTGAAGAGTAAAAATATTTAAAAGGGAAAATTATCCTGATGGCTCTTAAAGAGATGGTTTTATGCATAATTATTATGTTTTTTTCTGTAACTCAGCCATTTCAACATATTAATAAGCAATTAATTTTAAACATAAGAATTTAATATACAAATAATAAAAAAACCAACCTACCAATTAATTTTTATTAAAATTTTCCCTTAATACTCCCCTTATTTGAATAAGATTTGATTTTTCAAATAATTTTTATTCGTGATGTTATTTTTTAACAATATCCTATTGTACTTACGAATAAGAGCGATTTAAAAGAAACTTATTTGTTAACTTGTATTATTTTTGTAAATATTGTTATCGTTTGATTAATATATTTAAAAATATATCCACAAAAACCCACAAGATAATTGACTATTAGTACTGATATATGGAAATTAATTAAAAGCATTCATGCATATTACAAGTATTAATTTCTATCCAATGTAATACTTATAAGACTTCTATTATATTCTACATATTAAAACAACAGATGTAAAGGATAGATTATAGAAAACTCTTCTTTGATTGTTTGAGTGAATAAAATTTTAATATCATCAAAATAAACTAAAATTGTTTTCAATAACAAAATTAGGCTTGAAATATTTGAGACGGAAATGAAAAAAGTATATTATGTAAAATTCAATTTTATTAATGTATTTCGCCTGCTTATTGTAGATACGGAAAGAAAAAGAAAGTTTAACGATTCGTTAGGTAATACTTTTTTGCGTCTTATAATGCAGTTACATTTTTATTTAATGAATAATTCATTAGCTATATTAAACTTATTAAAATAGAAGTATAAAATGAAAGTATAAAATGATAGTTGATAAAACTTGACAGTTTGAATTTCAGAAAATGTGTAAGGTTAAAAATGACATTGTCAGAGTCTTCATGAAAAGTTTTATATTTACAAAAAAGAGCATACAAGTGGAGGAATAAGACAATCAAAAGCTACCAAGGCAAATGTTTTTTAAAGTCTTAGTGTATATCGCAATTACGAAATTTGTCATGAATTTACTACCCATATTTATTATAATTTATTAATAACGAACTAAAATTTGGACATAACTGCTACTAATAAGAAAAATTCGTACTAAAATTTTAGATATTCCTAAACGTATGCTTTCGGTTGATGTATATGTTCATGCCTTTATCCTCTTTTCCACTTTGCTGTTATTTTGTAATTTGATAATAACAGGAATGCGAGATAAATACGCTGGTAGGGCGATCACGTAGAGCTTACAAGTACAAAACGAGTAAATGTCTCTAAGTCTGATACTATGCACTTCATACAAAAAATAGCTTCAGTGAACATGTTTATCTAAGCGTAACGATTCAATAGTAGACATTTTACTTAGCTCGCGTGTAAACTACAAATATAGTCGAAAAAGAACATTTACATTTGGTGTATATTTTTTTGGCCAACTAAAACAGTATTAGAACCAAAATCTTATCTTATAAAACAGCGAGAAAAGAAAAACATACTCATCATGCGCATTAAATGTACACATCAAAATTTAAAATGTACAATTT